ATTAGTTCTATTTCTACAATTTGTTAGAGGGTTGTTATTAGTCTGTTCACAATTGTATGTTACAGTTAATTCTTCTGTTTGTATTGTTCTATTCACCAACTGGTCTATATAAACCACTGGTCATTCATTTAATAATGTAGAGAAGAATATACAATTTCTTCCTCGTCTGTTATTCTCTCTTCTAGTTCTATCCGATATTATAACATAAGCCAGAGCTTTTTGAGCATTGGAAATACTCCTATTGATTTTTAAAATATGTTTCATTGGTGTTCTAACAAGGTCATGATTGTGATTTCTATTAAAAAAACACAACTTTATATTGACCATTCTATCCAAGCAAACATGTTATTTGAGCTTTACATCCAGTCTTGAAAATTGGTTAAGCATATGAAGTACTTTCTCTTCGTTTGTCTACTCGACAAAACCCTTCTTTTGGGCAAAAAGTATTGTTCTTGAAATCTCTCCATTTTTCTTTTCCTACTATGATGTTGTTTCCTTACATTAAAAACAACATTTCCTCCATAATTGACATAAAACTTACACACATCCTCCACATAACTAAACTTCCATTCCAAAAACTGGCTTTGCAACTTCAAGATGAACTTCATAATTATTAAATAGTTGTTGCCCATGTAAACTTGTATCTTCTATGTTCTCCATAACTTACGCTAAGAATTCATGCATATAAAATATATAATTAGAAAATTTTTATGCAATAACATATCAATGATTTTATTTTAAAAAAAAAAACAAAAAGTAATAACAACAACAATGATAATACCAAATTGAATTAATATTGTAATAATCATCAACAATAAAAATGAGCTCTTCTCATTGAATAAAAAATAAAGAGCTTACACATATTATAGATAATAAGAAATAAAAACATAACTACTTAACGCTATAATAGAAAGATAACAACCCAAAACTTAAGAAATCAATTATGTACTAAATACTCTTGAGAAAAGTTACAAAATTACAAAAGGCTAATTATGTACTAAATACTCTTGAAAAGGTTATAAACTTTCTTTTAACGTAAAATTGAAAAAAAGTTACAAACTTTTTTTAACATAAAATTGAAAATCATATCTCATCAATGTACACCAAAATATTTTACAATAACAGATTAATGATTTAAGAAACAAAAAAAAAAACAAAACAAAAAATCGATTTATCTAATTTTAGAGATTTGGAGGGTTTCAATAAGGATTTGTTAGCTAAGCAAGTTTGGAGGGTTCTTAGTGAACCAAATCTCCTTGTTTCCAAGATTCTAGCATGTCGGTACTTCCCCAACAGCAATATTCTGGATGCAGATTTGGATAACAAAGCTTTCTATTTGTGGATGAGTCTTATGTGGGGCAGTGAGCTTCTTATTAAGGAGCGTAAGATGCGTGTGGGTGATGGTAGTTCAATCCGTATGTTTGAGGACCCTTGGATCCCGAGAGAATCGACTTTCAAACTGCTTTTCCGAGGTGGGGTGGGGCGGAGCCGCTAGTTTCTAATCTTATTTCTAATGGGGATTGGAACGTGGCGGCGTTGTCTTCCTTCTTGTGTCGTGAAGATGTGGAAGTGGTTAAGAGAATCCTTTTAAGCTCTACCAATAGGAGGACCTTTAGCTTTGAAATTATTATAAGAAGGGGTTGTATAGTGTGAAGAGCGGGTACAAATTGTTTATGAAGCTAAAGTGCCAAAAGCAGTCATCTAGTGATGGGAGCAACAACAAGATTTGGTCAGATTTGTGGAAGCTTAACATTCCTTCTAAGATAAAAATTTTTCTATGGAAGGCCCTTCACAATTGTATCCCGACAAGGTCCCGATTAAGGGAGCGGGGCATCAAGGTCATACCTCTTTGTCCTATGTGTTCTAGAAAGCTGGAATCTGTTCAACATGCCTTAATGGACTGTCCAATAGTTGCCGCGATCTGGAATCGGTGTTTTCCCTAGCTTTCGTCGAGATGCTGAGGGATGGACGACTTGCTATGCTGCTGGGAGCATTTGTGTGCTTCGTTTTCAAGGGATGATCGGGACCTCGCAGTGATGGTTATTGTGGGCTTGTTGGAATGACAGAAACAATATCTGCCACAACATTCAAGTGCCGAGTATATCAGTCAAGGCAGATTGGATAGTAAACTATTTAGAGAATTTCAAGAGGGCTATTCTAGGGCGTTTTACAAAGGGTTTGTCAAGCAAAATTGGGGGCTGGAAATTAGAAGATCAGCGTGATTTCTTACCTTAAACGGAAGGAGCCATCATCAATTGTTATGCTGCACGTAATCTGACAGAGGCTCAAATCGGTCTTGGGTTGGTGGTGAGATTTGGGCAGCATTTACTCAAGTATGCCTTGCACAATTCTATTGGGAGGGTACTCCCCTCTGATTGCAGAACTGATGGCGGTTCGGGAAGGGATTAGGCTTGCTGTACGACCGAGTCTTGGATGGGTGGTGGTTCTCTCAGACTCTTTGGAAGCGATCAATCTTCTTCGTGGGAGAGTTGTCTACCATTCAGAGACTGGTTTGTTGGTAGAGGAGATCTTGGAGCTGGAGAGTCATTTCTCAAGTATTGATTTCCTTCATGTAAATCGGAAGCATAATACGCTGGAAGATAGCTTAGCCAGACATGCGTCATTGTCCAAGGCTTCTCGTTTGTGGAACTCTCCTTTTCCTTTATGGTTATTGCCTTTACTGATTGATTCTCAGTCTACTGATGCAGCCCAAGAGGCAACTGGTTTTTTCTCTTAGTTAATGCAATGTCTTTTGAGTTTCAAAAAAAAAAAAAATCGATGTATTGCTTAGATCAACATTAAAAAAAGTTATAAATTGTGATTAAGAAAACTAAAAACGAATGATAAATGAAAATATTTAAGAGGAGAAAAAATAAATAATGAAAATATTGACAAAAAAATATATAAAAAAGTAAAGAGAACCAAAAAACTAACTCACTTGTTCAAAATCAGTCGTTCTTTATTCTCGATTATTAAAATTTGTTGATGTGTTTGTCACGTTGTTGTTGTGGACCTCCCAATGTAAAAAAAAATTCATTTTAAATTTTAAAGATGAGAAATTTCTCTTCTTTCACTCACTCTTATAAAAAAAAATTTAAAGATGAGAAAAAACCATAAATGATAAGGAAAATAAAAGACAAATCAAGATTGTGTAACTTGTCATCGTGTAACTTGGATATGAAAAGTGGAGGAGATGTGTTCCAGGGACGAGAAACGTCAAATGCATTTTGAAAAAAAAAAAATAGAAAAATCTCAAAAACAACGCATAACAATTTACTATTGGGTCATGTCATAATCAGGAGCATAATGGTTCTCAATCTTCAGCATTCAAGTATTTTCCTTTTGCTAATTTGGCGTTAGTTTAGTTGATTAGTATAATTCATATGGTGTTAAGCTCTTCTATCCCTATCTCTTATTCATTTATTATTGTTACTTACTGTTTGAAGAACTTACGGATGATCGATTTATCTATATATTTTTCCCAACAACATGGAATGTGAATCAAAACCCATGTTTGAATTGAAATTTAGACACCGATGGAAGTTCTTCCCCTCTAAATCAGATAGGTTCATATTTGAAGAAGTTTTACAATAAGTTTTTTCAAAATTGACTATTTGTCATTTTGTTAGAGGTGTTATAGAAATGTCTGCGATTGAGTAAATAGCTCGACGAGCGAATGGATTAGATCAAATTGTAAAATAGAAAAATTTGTACAAGTTATGCCACTTTATAGAAAATATATTAGGTATATATTCTAAAATCAATCAATGTATGGCCAATGGATTCAAGACATTAAGCATAGAGAAGCATAAATAGAACATTCATAAACATTCAATCAAGAAAACTAAACAATGCATAAAGTTCAATGACTACATTAACCTCTAAGATAAGATATTTAGCTTCTCATATTCATTATAAAACAATAAAATCACAACTAGAATTCCGTAACAAAACTAGAAAAATCAAGGGAAAGGAGAAGAAACTATGTTCCGCATGTCGATCATCCGTTCCCAAAGCGAGCTCCACGATCCTGAACCTTGAAAATCTCTTTTCTAAACTCTCCATTGGTCTCCTTGCCCTCCAAATTGGCCAAACATTGATATTCGAAACCTCAGCTACCAACCCTATTGTTGTACTTACAACTCTATAAAGTAGTGCGTCCTTACATTATTGAACCAATAAGTAATGTTAATGACATTGGTGATTGAAACTTCTTAAAATTAAAATTAAACGTGCAATAATAAGAAAATTGGAGATCAAACATTTACCATCATCCGATGGCCTTCGACAAAATAAGGCAAAAGGAAAAACTGGGAAAACGCAAGGAACTGTGAGTTGCAAAAAACCGGCGAAAGAAAAATAGCGGATTTTTTCTCTTCTTTCATGGGGTTTTAGGAAAAGGGTATGCACCAAAAGCATTCAACCACCTGAAAATTAGCTTCTTGAAATGGTTTCTCTCTCAACCTGGTTCCGCTACATAGCCCACAAGCTCGAGTACTCCGTCTCTCTCAGTTGGAAGGTCTTTCACTTTCTCTCTCTAACCCTATTCTTTGATTTTCCAGATGGGTTTGCGGAATCACTGTGATTTTGATTCATATGTTGTTGGCTGTTCTTCAATAGCGATTTTCTTTAGTTTCAGTACTCAATTTGAGCTCCTTTACCTGCTTCTGATTATTCTTATGGGCAGCATTATTTGAATTTCTTTACAATAATGATATTTCTTGCACTGTTGTTTGTCATCAGGCTTTGGATTTTTGTTTTTGTTGAGATTTTAGATACGTGTTATTGGGAATTTACTTCCACAAGTTGTGATCTCAGCTCGCATTTGTTGATTTTAGCGTTTTGGTTTTCCATCACCAATGAGTCTTATGGATTTGTCCATTGTGTATAAGTTCTTGACAATTGCTTCTCTGGAAATCTATATGTCTTTACTAACGTTGTAAGTTGACTGGTTCGTCATCATTTTTCTGTTGGAATCTTGAGCATATTCTTTACGGAACAGTCAGTAGAATGCTTAATGTTAAATCTTGGTTTGTTAGTCTGTTTTATTTATTTTTATGGAATAGGTCATGTTGAGGCAATTAGTAAGTGCATTGAATCCAGGGAAATTTAAACCGTTTTTCAGTCATCATTTTTCTTTTATTTACTGCCCTTGCTCGAGGCAGTTTTGGGAGGAAGTTTTAATTGTGTTTTTGGCTAGAGTTTTAATTTTCCTCCCAGTGATAGGGACATCAACCCTATATTGCTGTTTGGCCGCTATTTCAATAGAAAGCAGAATTTATCTATTTATTTCGAATAAAATTATGGCTTGAGAAAATAGACGAGTCTTTCAAATGGAGAGAACAATTCTTCTGAGTTTCACCATATTCTTTGTTTCATGGCTTCCTCTTGGAATCCTCCATAATCTATATTTTCTTTAATTACTCTCTCTCTCTTTTTTTTTTTATATCAATGCAAGTTGAAGTTGGAGAGTTTGGTTGGTTATTGGGTTTTTTTTTTCTTTTTCTCCTTTTAGGAGGTTGTTTCCTTGAACATCTTATATCTTTTTATCTATTAATGTAAAGTTGTTTCTTGTTCAAGTTGAAGTTGGAGAGATTTCTTGTTATCTCTTTTGGCTTAGAGTGTGGGAGGATGTTTATCTCCTGTTTTAATTTTCTAAATTAGTATTATTTTTAGTTTCTTATAAATAAATACTTTGAAGTTTGGGAAGTTTGAGCCAGCCAGGACTTTCTATGTTGAATGAGTGTTAGCTGCCGGTGACTTATAATTAAACCATGTGCCAGGAAAAGCAAATGGTGCATATCTAATGTCAGTTCCTGAATATTCATACCGTACTTGCTGGATTTCTTAGATCTTCTGATTTCTCTATCCAATTACGAAATCTTAAGATGGTTCATCTCTCCATTCATTTTTAATGCATTCTCTTTCTTTTCTGGTTAGCTTGTAGTTATTTCTCAGTTGGGAAATGTTTGAACTCTAAAAGGTGTTTGATTGAGCAAAAGTTTTGTTGTGATAGATTTTATAGGAAGTCTTGAGGGAAAGTAGATGCGTTACTTTTTGGATATCCTCAATCCTGCCTGTGAACTGGAATGATCTGAATCTTGCGTGACAAGTGGAATATTTGTCCTCGCTCTTGGCATCAGAGGCATATCTGATTTCTATTATTTTTTTCCCTTTTTCCTTCTGTACTCTTAAATACGATCTATGATGTTACATTCTGAACAATTTGGTCACTTTTTTAAAGATTTCAACTATTTTATATAAAAAATTACAAGAAGAATCCTTACTATGATGCAGAGCTATAAAGGAGGTCAAATTACTGACAGAGAAGTTGGTGATGCTGTTTGGAAGAATTTATTTCAGGGGAAGCTCACATACCTACATTGGACTAAAGGAGAGGAGATGACTCCGACTGTAGGTGGGCAAGGAGGGACGCTTCTTGTCCGCAAACTACCTGCTGTAGATCCAACGTAAACTTCGTCTTCCTCTTAACATAGAAGAATCTATTCTCTTTTTCTGAAACACCCGTTTCCTATTTTTGTCATAGATTTCAAATGCTTAGCAATTTGGACATTTTAATTTGGTTCTTATTAATAATATTGGTTAAATTTGATCATCTGAATAAAGTGAAGTCAGTCCCCTACCCCACTTTTTCTGTTCTATTATTATTGTTTGATGAGAAACAAACTTCATTGACAAAAGAGAATGTAATTCAAGGACCAATGATTACAAAAGAGGTTAGTTTCTATACACGTGGGGAGGAATGAAGTAAAATAATATTCCAACTGTCTTTTCCTCTTGTATTCAATGTGGCTACCACCTTAAAAAGTGATGGTCCAAAAATAGTTTTTAATTTCTCCCTTTTACATCTAATGGTGAAAAAGTGGCAGTTACATATTAAATAACTTCTTCCTCTTAAAAGATCCTTCTGCACTCCAACCAAATACTTCAAAGCACTTGCATACCATATAAAGTATTTGAACATTACACCTTCTTTGAACTTCTAAAACTCCAAGGAGTCAGGCCTTCAACCACAAACTCTTGAGTGCATCAAAGGAAGGGCCATTATTAGTAGAGAAACCCAGAAACTTTGCCCATGGAGCTGCCACAAAAGAACAAAAACATAAGGTGGTCGTTTGAGTTTTCTGGACTATTTTTGTGAAGGAAGCACCAACTTGACTTAAGGTAGAAAAAATTTACACTTCTTTGGAGTCTTCCACTTCCAGAGATATTTGCAAAACAAGGTGGGGAGGATGAGATCCTTTTGAGAGGAAAAAGAGAGATTTAATTGAAAAACAACTGGTACTGTCTTGCTTCCAAACTTCCCCTCCATGAACAGAAGGTTCTGCTATTGAGGATTATCACCGGAGACTCCCACCCTCCATCTCTCTATCAGAAGATGGCCTCTTGAAAATTAAACTCCAGTTGCTGTTCTGTTCATCCTAAACTTTGTTGGCATTCAATAGTTTGTAACCTTACAAAATAAAAAGTCTGGGATGCAAGTTTTTGGGAAACTATCCTAAATCAGCCACGTCATCTTACTCTCAATAACTTCTCTCCCTAAAGCAGAAGGTTCTTCTTGAAAATGATTAGGCCACTTTGCTAGAGGATTCAATTTCCTCTCCATGTTTCTCTATCACCAAACACCCCTTCCTCTCAGAACTTGAGGAAGAGAGGTTACCTTCCAGTTGCCATAAAGAACAAGGATCTAGGAGAATCTTCAAGAGGTAAATAGAATGAGAGGAAGTCTTTCTCTTTGATGAAATGTTGAAGTAATACCCAGAAATCCGATTGGTTAAGGGAAGAGATTAACTTGAACCCTGACCGATTGGATTAATACCAGCCACTATAGACATCGAGAATTTGATTTTTAACCCTAAGGTTGCCTTGGAGGCTGTTAGTTGTTACTTGGTTAGGAAGATTAAGAATTTTTTCCTTATCCACCACTGAGAACAAGAGGACATTGTTTGTCATTGGGAGATTATCGATTTGACTTTTACATTTACCAATTGAGAAGTCTTCCATACGGTTATTACCCACCAAGAGAAAAAGAAAAAGGAAGAGAGGACCCCTTGCCTTAGCCCTTAGCTTGCCTTGAATCTTTCTCTTGCTCTTCCATCAACGATTACAAAATAGGTGAATTCTAGAAATGCTGTCTTCAATCTAACGTCTCCATCTATTGTGGAAGTCTCAAGGAAATTCACTCTACCTAGTGAGCTTGAATATCATCACCTCCTTTTTCTTACATCCCACTCATCAACTACCTCGTTTACAATCAGAATTGGACCAAGTATTTATCTTCCCAAAATAAAAGCTGATTAGTCGGCAAATAAAGTTTGAGGAAGAACTCCTTTAAGATGATCAACCGAGGTTTTGGCTATGATGTGATATATCATAATAGTTAGGCTAACTTAGTCTATATTCAGGCACCTTTAATGCATTCTCTTTTTTAGGATTAAGGGCTATGAATGTTTCATTAACAATAGAACCCTTTTCAACAAACTGATGTTTCATTAACAATAGAACCCTTTTAAACAAACTGACAATATCTTGGAATATGCGAAGAAGTCAAATTTGAACATGTTCCACTCCTTTCATAGAATTTACCATTATGTCTGTCTCATATAGAGGCTTTGTTTTTACTCAAATTATCCACTGCCTTTTTTTATTTTCTCTTCAGCAAAAGGTCTCCCGGGGCAACCTCTTTCCAAAATAGAAATAAGATCCAAGACAAATTAAAGCCTTAAAGGTAACCACTTTGTAGCCTCATTCATCTTTTGAGAAAATCACAAAAACTAAACTTCTCTCGATTTCTGTATTAAAGACTAAGGAATTCTCTTGATTCAAGCTAATTTTAGAGTTGAAGTTTTCCATTTTCCTAACCAACATTATTAGGTGGAAAAAGGGGAGATTCTTGTCACCATTTAGATTCCATATCTAAGCTTACTCTTCTTTGCCCACATCATATTTTTTTTTGGGAATAAGTTCTTGTAGCTTGATTTAAACGAAGTTCAAAAGGTTCTCTTCTCAGCTCCATGGACAAATCCTTCAAAATCTCAACTTTATCAAGGTCGCCAATTCTGTTAAACAAGCACCATTTTTCAGTTCAGATGTGGCCAAAATGCTCTCGGTTTCTATTTTATGACGAACACCCCATTTTTCCCCTTAGCCTTTGTATGAAGGATAAACTTGATTTTCGTGTAACAGCCAACAGGGATGTTCTTCCACTACAAAATGAAAATGCTAGGTATTTTCACATAATTACTATGCCTAGGTATTTTCACATAATTACTATGCCTAGGTATTTTCACATAATTACTATGCCATGGTATGAACTTATAGCATTAAAGGAATCCTGGCCAAGGGTTAAATGGCTCCTTTGAAGAGAGGAGTTTTTACAATTTTGAAGCTTTTTCTCAATTATTTCAATTATGGACGACCAAAAGGAGAATAAGCAAGGGTTACCATTGAGAGGAAACCCTAAATAAGACCTTGGATGAAACTTTCTTGCAATCACAACTAGAAGCCGTGTTCTTGAGGAGAAGTAGAAAACAAGTCTTATCAATAGTGGAGAAGAGGATTGTATTATGCAAATTGGAGGTGATTAATATTCAATGAAATTTTAGTGGTGTTCTCTTCTAGATTGTTCTGAATCCTCCTTTTTGAGGGAAAAGTCGCGTTCTTTGGTAGGTAAACGTAGATTCTTTGCTTCTTCTCTCTTTTTTTTTTGGGATGTTTGTGTTCTTTCATTTATTTATAAAGGTTTGATTTCTCACTAAAAAAGTGTACACTAATGAGAAAGCGATGACAATAGCTATTTCTCATTAATTATTTTGATAACTCCACTAGCTATGACTTTTTTATGTTTTTGTTACCTTTTTATATGTTTTCTTTTTCTTTCTCCTTTTCACTCATTTTGGAGTTTGTATGTTTGAACAATCTTTTTCATTTTCATCCGTCAATAAAAAGTTTGTATCTTGTTAAAAAAAATTATAATTATAGCATACAAATGATTGTGAATGATTGAAGAGCCGGATTGTCTAGTCTTTGGAGGAGGGTGATTTCCACCCTCTGCCTTTAGATTGTTTATCTCAAAAAGCTGGGTGGTCGCTTGGCAAAGGAGGGCTTTTCTCTACAAAGTCTGCTTTTTTGAAGGCAGTAGACTGTAGCTCCTCTTTGAGATCCTCCTTAATTCCAGCTATTTGGAAATTTACAGCTTCTAAGAAGGTTAAGGTGTTCCTTTGGTCCTTAGCCCATAGAAGCCTGAACACCCATGAAACTTTACAAAAGAAGTGCAGCAGGGATGTTATCCCCCTCGGTGTGCAGCCTTTGTCTGATTAGCAATGATAATTTAGATCATCTTTTCCTCCAGTGTCAGTTTGCGAAGAAAGGGTGGCATTTCCTCTTAGACTTTTTTGGGTTATCGGTTTGTCTCCCCAATCAAATAGATAGCTGGCTCTCTGAAGCTCTCCATGGGTGGAACCTTCCTAAGAAGACAAAGTTTTTATGGAACTGTGCTTCGAGATCTCTTGTGTGGCATCTTTGGTTGGAAAGGAATTCTCCTGTTTTTTAAGATAAGTCCTTTACTTTTGACATTTTTTTGTAGGAATGTACAGTATACCGCCTCTTGGTGGTGCATCGATTATATGAAATTCTTTTGTAATTACAACCTTTCCATGGTCATGAACAATTGGAAAGAGATTGTCTAGCTCCTTGGGTGGGGTTCTCTCTACCCCAGCCCTTAGGTTCCCTTTTGTTTTCTATGGATTTCAACAAAGTTTCTTACCTAAAAAAAAGTTTATCTCCCTTTTTTGGGGCGTTTCCTTGTCTATACCAGTTTCTGTCTTTTATCCACAAAAAAAAAAAAGAAAAAAGAAAAAAAGAAAAAGGGTGGTGATTAAATTTTTACTTTCTTTGTGAACAAGATAACCTTTTGTTATAAAGGAAAAAAAAAATTCTCAGGATACAAGCCCCCAATGGAGCAATAGAAAAAGAAAAAAAAAAGAAAACAAGAAAATGACTGTCTCGACGAAGAGCAATACAATCTGATTGAATAAGGAGCATTAAGAAAGTAAAAAACCACCAACAAAAAGCCCAAGGATCAGCTGAATTTAGACTTAAACCCTAAACCAATGGGGGGTGATTAATATTTGAAGAACTATTTCCAATATAGAAGCCTGTAATGAAATTTTGGTGGTGTTCCCTTCTAGGTTGTTCTGAATCCTCTTTGAGGGAACAATCACGTTCTTTAATAGGATAGAGTTTCCGCTTCTTTTTTTCTTTGGCCTGTTCGTTTGGTTTCACTTATTGTTAAGGGATGTTTGGTTTCTCATTAAAAAAAAAGTGTATACTAGTTAGAAGCCTAAACACTAGCGATTTCTCAAATTTGCTCCCAATCATTGCGAAACTTCTGATTTTTTTAACACCAAAATTTTCAAAGGGCAGTTATGATTGTATAGGTTCTTTGGAGGGGGTCTCCTCGACCCTCTGCCTCTAGGTTGTATGCCTTTTTTTTTGGGCTCCACGTCTTGAAGAATGAATTCTCATTGTTTATTATCAAAAAAAAAAAATGTGAATAGAAGACCACACATGATCTGCTTGAGTAAATCTTCAATGCAATTGGGAACACCAGATAAACCTTAAACCTGAAACAATCTATTCAGCGTTTTTTTAAGATTGAAAGGACACCTAGTAAAAAAATATATTTGGTTTTCTTCACCTTCTCAAAATACCACACCAATTCGTGGTATATCATAGGATGTTGTTTCTTAACTAAGGATTTTAGTAATTATTGGCCTTAGACTAGACTACTTTATGTAATCTTCTTGGTCTCACTTTTTTATTCCCCTTTTGTTTAAAATAAAGTTAATTGTGTCATCAAATCGAAATATTGTTTTTTATGTAACAATAAAATAATTGTATTTTTGTCGTAGTTCCAATTCTTATTTTCTAGACAATGCCATCTCACAATGTCCACCTTTAGGTTGTCCTAATTTTCAAATTTGATTTTGTTATGGCTGAGTCCATAGATGAAACTTTTGTGGTGATATGTTGGTGTTTTAAACTTTGGAGCATTTTGTTTTGAATAACTAATCAATGTGATACCATGTAACAAGCTTGAACCCGATCCTTTGACACAGACATGTAAACATGTAATATATATAGTTCCCTGCTGGTATTTTCCTTTTTGTCCATATCCAATCAATAAATTTTCTATTGTACAGGACATGAGCTTGTATAAAATCATCTCATACAGTATAATGATGATTGAGAATTGTTTATGATGGTTTCAGAGTCGGACTATACTTTAATGCTTGATTTTGAGCTAGTAATTAACAATCATTACCTTTTAACGGGCTGAGATATTTGTTTCACAGGAGAGTTTTTGTTGGAGATGTTGTGGTAGTAAAGGAACCAGAGAAACCACAGAACTATCTTGTGAGAAGATTGGCTGCAATTGAAGGTTATGAAATGGCATCTACTGATGAAAAAGACGAGCCTTTCGTACTCGAGAAGGATCAGTGCTGGGTGTTGGCAGATAATGAGAAGTTGAAGCCTAAGGTATAATTTTATGACATTCACTAAGAATATGGCAACTTTCTTACACTATGGATAATTTTGTTTCAGCATTGGTATTGGTCTCATCTCATATGATGGGGTACCCTTCTGGCTTTGGTCATATCCTTTTTTGGTTTTTTTCCATTTAAGATTTATTTATTTTCTTAATTATGGGATTTATGTAGCAGCTAATGCCATTCCAACTTCATTCCATAAATTTTTGTAGAGCTTTCCTGGTTTTGCTTAGAATATGCCTTTTTTTTTACTATAATATTTTAATCCCTAAACTACCAAATGTTCCATTTTATTTTCTGAACTTTGCATTAAGAAACCACTCTAGTTTATGATGGGATGATGTGATGGAAACCTTAGATGTTTGGCAGGTTAGAGGAAGAGCTTTGCTTTGGAATATTTGGAGGGAGAGAAATCAAATGGGTTTTGAGGACGTTGCGGTGTCTTTTGATTTTTTTTTTCTTTAAAAAAAAAAACGATAGGCTTTCACTGAGAAAAGATGAAAGATAACAAATACAAAGGGCAAAAAGGCCCAGAGGCAAGAGGCATAGAAAAAGACAGCGCACTAATGGAGTCCAAAGGCTAACTATACAAGGAGATCCAATTCAAAAAAATAAGGCCTAGAGAGTAAGAACAAAACTCCTTAGAAACTGACACCCAAACAGAGGTGTTAAACCAGCAATGGACCACACCATCTTAGGCGACCGCTAAAGATCCTTGAAAATCCTTTTGTTCCTTTCCAACCAGAGTCCCCAAAGCACTGCTAAAAAACCCACCATCAAAAAATCCTCCTCTATCATATCTGAGCAACCCCCAGATCTAGCCAAATTAAGCTGGAACAACTGGAAGAAGCAATCCCAAATAGTTCAAGAATACTGGCCATTCCATAACACATGGTTTAGGTCTTCAACATCCTTCTTGCACAACACACACCAAAATGGCCCCACCACCATGGAAGAATGCCTTAGGATGCTATCCAAAGTGTTCACTCTGCCAAGTAAGACTTGTTAAACAAACAATTCTAACCTTCTTTGAGATTTTCATCTTCCAGAGCATAAACAAGGCAGGACTCTCACTGGTAGACAAGTCGCAGCAAAGGTTTAGGAAAAACGCCTCACAAGAGAATACCCCACAGAATATCGGGAGTCCAAAAAGGAACGTCCCTGCCTCTTTAGATTCTTTTACTACTAGTGTTCAGCTTACTACATCCTTGTGGTGTTTAAAATACAAGAAATCCTCCTTTTGTAATTACAGATGATCCTTGATTCTTCAAGATTGGAAAGTTTTGATTCACTAGCTTTTTGTTGGGAGGAGGCTTTCTCATCTCCTGGAACTTAGGTTGTTAGTTTGTTTCTTGTATTTATAAATTTGGTTTCGTATCAAAAAGGAAAAAAAACATCTAGATGCCTGAAATAGGATGCTTGGGATTCTTATTTCCAAAGCAAAAGGCTTATTTGTTGAAAGGCAAATTCGAATTTGAACAGGCATCCCAAAATCTATGGTTTTCAGTGTGTATAAAAAGTGGTATTGGGAGAGGGTGGATAAGAATATACATCCAAGATCATCACAAAACAAAAAAAAGTTCATCAGATGTGAGAACAAATTTGTTTCCTATTTATTCCTCCAGTTTTGGTTTAGTGTTATGATTTGATAACTCTTGTAATCTTCCTCACAAAAGTGAAGTTCTCTCTTTTTTTACCCCCACCCTCCTGTTCATCAATTGGCAGGAAGCAAATGACAGTCGAACATTCGGCCCAGTTCCAATGTCAGACATTGTAGGCAGAGTCATATATTGCCTACGAACTGCGGTCGATCATGGCCCAGTGCAGAATAGGTTAGCCCCTCTACTGTGTAGGCTGCTCTATAAAAGGAGTGCAGAAGTGTTCTTGTGACTGAATGAGTTTTGTTATCTGACTGACTGAGTTTTGTGTTGGTTTACTAGTTATTTTAGCATGAGAAAGGATTCGCCAGTATTGGAAGTCGAACTGGACGTCGATGAGATGGCAAAAAACCACAAGGCCTGAAAGAAGCAAGTTATAATCTGGTCTGTATGTAACCAATCAATCTCTTTTTGCCAATTTTTCATTGCAGATGAACTCCAAATTTTTCAATGGATTTGGGGATATTTGAGTTCCAATTGGGTTGGTTCTAATCTTTGTTTACTACCGAAGCATGAAAATGGCCTGTAACCATCCATAAGATTTTACCCATATTCAGTTTTACTTCTCAGACTTAGCTTCTAAGAAAAAGAGAAAAAAGCAATAAAATGATTACTGCTGCTGTTCTACTTGCCTTGACATTAGCCTGGGAATTTGGTACCATAGAAGTTAATGTTAGCTATGAATTCTTTTGAAAAAAAATGTTTGAAATATTGTACGTTAAAAGGCACATTTAATCCATGTACTTTATTTAGGTCATAAACTTTAGTTTGTAATGATTTAATTGTCGTACTTTTAAATTGGTGACAATTTAGCTTCTAAATTTTAGCATGTAATAAATTTTTAGTCCTTACCATAAAAGGTCTCATCAAATTTTAGTGTCAATTTTTATCATATAAAGATAATTTAGTCTTTGTAATTTATAAACACATATGATTTCTTATTAGTTCATCGATCTACTTATATAAGAAACTTAACAAAAGTTTATATGGTAGAGATTAAATCGTTACAAATTTTAAACTACAGGAACTAAATTATTACGTACTAAAGTTTAGAAATTACATTGTTATATATTTTAATATAGTCTAAATTGTTACAAATTAAAGTTAAAGGAATAAAGTAGAATCAAAAGTATTTTTAACCTGTATTGTAACTGAGGATGTGTGGTGGCATCCTAAGAAAATTCCTCCATCTGGGTCAATCAAATTTCTGCATGGGAATAAAAATGAGTTGTTATTTATCCTTTTCTTTTGCAGCTTTATTATGCATAAAATAAGAAGTTATATCTTAATTAGTTGATAAATTTGTTATAATTAAAAAAAATATAGCTGAATTGAAATAATTAGAATTATAAAGAAATGAAATACAGTTATAAAGGAGAGAAGTTGGTGAGAGAAAAGGTGAAGAGAGAGTGCATGTAAAAGTAACAAGAAATAGAACTTGTGTTATGAAAGATTTAAAAGTTAATATATATATATATATATTTGAGAGGACCTCTAATGAATCATTTTCATGTTTTGTTTTACATGTTAAAAGTGTTTTTATCTATATTTCAAAGGTGGTTTTTGAATCATTGAATTACTAAAAAAAAAATTATTGATTTCCTAAGGTTATTGAAATGTTTTATTGCAGGTTAAATTATAAAAAAGGACCGTTAAAATTTACCTTTCTTTTTTACGCTAGTGTCATATCTACCTTCAACTTTTAAAATAGTTTAAAAAATTAAATACTCTTTCGTCAACTTTTCTATAAAAATAAAATGGAACTCATAAACTATGTGATTAGTTTTAAATATGCTCCTACTTTTTTTATTAGTTTTCTTTCAATCCTTAAATCTTTAAAATTGTTTGAAAACAATCATTCTACTATATTCTCCATTAAAATGAAGACAGCTTGTCACGTTGGAAATTATGCCGAGTAGTGAGGGAAGTAGGTTTGGAGATTTAAAAGTTGGCCAAAATTTCGTTGTTTAAAAGGGGCAATCATACACTATGATAAAAAAAAAAAAAAATGGTAAAAATAAAAAACCACGTGTCGAAGAAATGTGGGGTCTAGAGGAAAAGCTTTGCAAGAAGACTATATTCATGAGAGAAAATTTATGGAAAAGTGGGAATCGTGCACAGAAGCTAGGAAAAAAAAAAGACCAGCGGAGGAAGACAATTTTCATCTTCAAATGTAAGATATTTATCGAGCAATTTGTGGTCTCTAGGTTCAGGTGTCTTGAATTTCTTTGTTAGCCCTAATTCTTGTCCATTGATTTTGTTCGTGGTCCATGATTTTCTTACCCAAACTTTTGTTTTCTCTCATATCCTTCGATCAATTGCGAGAGGAGGAACGATCCTTTTGCTACTTCTTCCGAGTATTTATAATTGGACACATCATTAAGTTTCGTTTTAGACCTTACACATTCTTCGATGTCAAAAAAATTATATTGCATTAAATTTCAGATATTTATTTATGTTATTGAGTAAAAACGACATGCCACACATCAAAAAACCAACTAAGCCACTTGAGTTGAGTGAGGAGACCAACCTGGCATGGATGAGTGCATTGAAAAGAATCTGAGCATACCAACAAGGGTCGAGCGCCCTTAAGGATCCTGTACGATGGACAACCAGCAAGCAGGGTGCTGACACACTGTTCTCGAATTGATGCGCCCCTCTAGGAACCATACAAGACGCCACCAAACCCCTTACTTGCACGACGAGGGAGATAGAGGCAGACTCCTAGGCTGACATACCCCTCCCCCTGTGAACGTCGAAGGGAGTGGGGACCTCCCATTCAAACCCTCCCCATCTCATATATAAAGAAAGCAACAACCCTGGCAAAGGTAAGCCGTATTTCCTTACTTAATTTCCTGTGAGGATTTGGTACACACACTCTAACAAATTCTCACTCTTGAGATTCTTGCTCTCTCATTCTTACTTGCTCCATACTGGTTTGCCCCAACTTGAATTTTAGTTTAAGCATTAGGGTGCAGTAGAGCACCACACCGGTGCGAGATTTCTACACGTGCAAGTATCATACTAGTATAGACGAAGACATACGTGACACCTGAGAGTGACACTTAAGCAGACCTCATCCAAAAATCGACATCAACAATTTATGTTATGATTTTAAAATTATGAAATTATTATTATTTTTTCTAATTATTTGTGATATACGAGATATAATAAAACTGTGTTTAACCATATGACAGTCCAAAGATAACTCAATAGATTAAAAATTATTACCATTCTAAGGTTGATTGCTCGATCCCTCACTTTGCCGTAATTGAACTCGGAAAATACTATGCAATCATACCATACAAATATTGCACAAGTTTAAGATTATGACCATTAAAATGATTAATTAAATTACAATTAAACCTCATCCATTAGTTCTAGCAATTTCTTATAGTTTTGATTGTTATCCCACAAATTTTCTCCAAATTAAACTTCCAACCCATCTATTAGAATCTCAACATTTTCATCGTCAAAATTTAAAACCAGTTCATCAAAGAAGAACAATATGTACCAAATATGACAAATATGAAGGTGATATGCAAAGATCCAGCCATAAATTTTCATAGGAAAAAATTTTACCTTCTAACTTTTCATGTATATTATATTTCTACTTTTAAAATCAATAGGGTAGCAAATTAGAGAACTTTAAAATATTTAGAATTTGTTTGGTATGCAATATCAATTCTGTTTATTGTTTCCAGGAATATGTGTTTGACAAGAATTATGTGATCAAGTACAAATTTTGAAAACAATGTTTCTATGTTTTCGAATTTTAAATTTGAAATTTTAGATGTAGATTTATGTTAAAAGGAAAAAAAAAAGACAAAAGTTATATAAATATACAATTTTATGTTGTAAACTTAATTCATTTTTGTTAAAATTAAAACATGTAAAACATAATATATTATAAATATATGGTATTGTAAAATAATAATTATACAAAATTTGTAACATTTTAAATTGATATATGATAATTACTAGTATACCCATTTCTTCTTTCTAGTTAATTATAAATACATTGTTGTGCTAATCTTTTTTTTTAATTACAATAACAATAAATTTTAATTTATTTTATTACTATATGATTTATAGTAAATACTATAACAATTTATCTAATATTAATAACAATGAATAATTAAAATAAATTTACATAAACTAAAATACTTTTTTATTATAATTTAATATAAAATATAATTAAATTTTATTATTCTAATATTCAATGACAATAAATTATATTTTAAAAAATGTATTAATATTAATTAATAATAATAAAGTAAAAAAATTAAAATTAAAATTAAATATTAATTTATAATATTTTATAATAAAATCATACCAACCAATAAAATTGGTATAAATTTTTATTAGAAGAAAAAACATTAATGGTAGAAATGAAAAAGAAATAATTAATAAAATTATGGGTTAGGAGAGGAATGAGTTTACCCCATTTTAGTAAATAAGATTCCCAAATTTGAGGTGGATCCTACAATTTGATTCAATTGCTACAACTTGCTAAATACCATAAAGGGGATAGAAAAAATCATTCTCATTCCTTAAACATGACCTAACTATTTAGTTGGTAACTACACTAATTTACAATTATATTACTAAACACAAACAATTTATGAAATTTAGATTCAATTTTTAGATCTGCTACCAAACACATATTCAAAAATCATACGATACAACTCCTGTATTCTTGAATACGTTGTTTTCAAATTTATGTTTTCAGATTCAACCAAACACACTCTTAACTTTTGTAACTCATTTGTAGAATCTAAGACGAATCAAGAGGGGAAATTTTTCGCTTCACCCTGAAACTCAGGATAATAACTTTTCTCTATTATTTCTATGACGTCTTTTTTTCCCTCACTATTACGGCTCCAACGAATATAAATCCAAGAAATATCATCGCACATCAGAAAATGTTAAGCATAGTTTTTCTCATCTCTGTAATGAACAAGAGAGATCAGTCTCAACAAGAATGTCAATCTACATTTACTCATGGAAAATGTGAATCATCTTTTCTTTGGCCTAAAAGTTGAGACAAAAAATTATATGAAATTACACCGACGCAACTAACCAAAATTCACAAATATAGATCAACTAATTAAAATATATATCATTTAAAGCTGCATTTGTTTAGAAATTTAAAAACAAACAATTCAATTAAAAAATAGAATTGTATTCCATATTTTCAAAGTTCACGAAAATTGTTTAAGGTGCTTTAGTAATATAATTATAAATTAATAATAGTTATCAACTAAATAGTTTCAAAAATTAAATCTACCAAACAGATATTTACTGAATCTATTTGTTTCAATGAATCTGAAAACAAGAAACAAAGTCGATGTTTCTTCCAAAAGTGCTTCATTCAAAACCGTTCCAGCTGACATTTACAATACAATAGGTTTTTCTCATTAGAACCAACCTTTGAAATCTTAATAAATAATAACCAAGTTGGGTTACTCTGTTGTAGAAGATAAAGCTTCATCAAATGGTTACTAATCACAATCAATGCACAAAATGTAAAGTCAGAGATATACAAAAAAATTCAAAAATATCACATGAATAGTAAAAAATCAATGCATAGCGTGTTCATAAAGATGCCTTAAGAGATACATTAAATCCTCCTTCCAGAAGAATATCCATTTCTTCCATCAGGTGGAATGAGTTCCATCTAATGCAATTGAAAATGAAATGATACATCATTTTTTTTTTTTTTGACAATGATTTAATTTTGTTTTTCTGCAACTCTTCTCTTTCACTCTAGCTAGAGAGAGATGGAACTTAATAGCGCACAACAACTCAATTATATCAAAATTGAGTAATCTATGTGAATTACGCACCTTTGTTGTCACAGATGGAATGTCATCGTCAGGAGGATGAGAAGATCTACCGCGCCAACCGCTCCTTAACAAGCCAAAGTCACTTGAGAGTCAAGTTCTAAAATCTGGCTCAACTATCTACCGTGGAAGTTATTCAAGCTTTCATAAAATCTGAAGCTGAAACCAAGCATTCTTCTTCAGTCATTTAAGAGCCAGAATCAGACCAGCAGTCATCCAAATCGGAGAAGCTTGAGGCCGAACTCTCGGATAATATTTCAGAAGACTCCAAATTAAGTGAAAAGATTAAGCCATCTCCTCTTTCGTTTAAAGCTACTGCTGGAGTTGATGGCTTCTCTTTTCCTTTAAGTTCATTTGAACTTATTGGTTGAAGCATTGATGCTGTTGCTGCCTTTTCTAATGGAATTCCAGAATCAGAATTTGAAGGATTGCCATTGTATTTAACTGCATCTTCCGATTCTATTACCTTTTCGTTTTTTTTCATACGCTTCAAGGTTGTCGACTGGAGAAGACGAGCCTTGATCTCTGCCTTAATTCTGATAATCGAGGTATTAGCAGAATTCGGCAATTCTGCATCCTCGGATTGGTCTCCTTTTGAAGAATGTGAGCTATCGGCAGTCTGAGATTGTGGTAGACTATTCTTAGTAATGTAGGAGTGCACAGCCAGTCCAAGATTCTCTTTGACCCATTTGTAGACTGCACTTAATTTTCCTTCCAAGGCTTCCAGAAGAAGATTTAAGTTGCCCATTTTGTACCGCACGACGAAGAACTTGTCGCCCCAAGCACAAGAACAGAGTTGCTTAGCATGATTCAAACAAGAGTACCTATCTGCAGAACATGGACAACCAGCTGCAGACAAGTGTAAATCATAAAGGCAAATGCTGCATTCGCGCTTACAGACAGCATCATAGTTCTCGTTTACTTCCTGCATCTGTGAAGCTGACGTAAGATACTCCCTCCTGAGACCTTCGCTCTTAATACGAGACTGCACGAAAGAGGGTTAAACAGTTTGAAACTTTATACTAGGAAAATCTCAGCCAGTTATATAGACATGTAATAGACGTTGGTTTCTTTGTACATAAGTTTCCACATTATTTTGGTTTGGTTTCCAAGTTTATTTTTTAATCGGAAACCATGCTTTCATCGAGAAAAATAAAGAATACAATTGGGTCTACTAGAGGACCAACAAAAACCAAGAAAAAAGCAACAGTAGACTATTAAGGATCGCATCTCGTGCATATTCTATATTGTAGCTTGCAACAAATGACAAAGCAAAAAGCGGCAACCTGAAAAGGAGCTAACCTAACAAAAACAAAGAAAAGCCCATATCCAAAAGAATAAGACCTAATAAATAGTTACAAAAGTCTTTAGAAACATAGGCCCAAAGCAAGGCACTAAACCTAGCAAAGCACCAAACCTCCTCCCAAGTCCCAAGACCTCTCCACTTCTTGCTGTCAAAGTTGCAAACAGTAAGGTCCTTTTGGAAAAGTGAAGTCGTTGCTGTCAAGATCAAATTTGCTATTTCTAAAGAGTTGATAGCTTATTTAAGATTTTATAGCTTGTTTTTTCTTCATTCAGTTTGTGCTTCAGCCTTTTGTCCATTGTAATTTGTTGTTTATGTAATTTTTTATTTCATCCCCCAAAAATTGTTTCTTTTTGAAAATATGCAAACATGTAAAGTACTACTACTTCTAGGCAATGTAAGATACAAACATAGGACCTGTAATGCAAACTACTCGAGAAGAAGAAAGCAATATTTTCCAAAACAGATTTTTTATCACGAAGAACTTTAAATAAGTAAAATTTTGCAAGGTGGAGTTTGGGAGCGTACCTTGAATGTCTGGGCTAATACCCCGTTCTTTCCACAGGCGTCTTTCCATCGTAAATTCTCTTTAGTTTCCTTTCTGCATAAAGAGAGTTCCCATTGTGCCTTCACAGCTTCAATGGCTGCTCTGAGCAACAGCCTATCGAAGGATATCGATGTCTTTCTTCCATCTATAGCATAGAGCTCCACAGCATTATAACCGTAAGGCAACCAGTGAAGGGGAGCAAAATTTGCTTCCTCAGTAATACTAAAGCCACAGTTGAATCCGGAATGACATGCTCCTGGAAAAACAAGAACAAACTCTCCCGGATTCTGAATGCAACGATAAACCGGTAGACCCTCTCTCTTCAACATGGCAATTGACGGTTGGCTGACCTGAATTATCAAGGAATAGTACTGTGAACATTGAAGTAGGTGTGTGCCCTTCTCTTTTTATAATTATCAAGTAGCATAATGGGCTACTCATTTACGAATATGGTCTTATACAAGTTAAACTTAGTATGTACTAAATCACTATTGGACCAAAAAACTTAGCCTTATGGGCTACGATAAACCTAATTGTTTATTTGTACTTTTAACAATGTCTCTTACTTGTGAGCTTGAAAATTAACACAAGGCGCAACAATATTAATTAGAGAGGAAATGAGATTTAAGGAGTTCGAACTTAGGACCTCCTACTCCGATACCATACTCAATTTGGATGGAATAGAATATTTGTATTCCAATAATAATGGTAAGAAATAAATAGCCCTGGAAAAAAGGGATACAAGAAAGGAAAGAAGGAAAAAATATATGAACAATAAATTATTATAGCTGATATAAATATTTGATAAAACAGCCAGACATAAATCCTTCTTGAATGATGAATTTGAGAGCGTCATTACTCACCATTCCTCTATGGAACCTTTTCTGTTCCACAAAAAATTCTGGAAGGTTCTTCATGGCTACGTCAAATTGACCAATGTATCTTCCTGGAATGCCATACCATATTTTAGGAGCTCCCAAGTGCAAGTAACATAACAAAGGTAAGTGGTGTTCTTCAACTCGCTGTTTTTAAAGATAGGGGAAAAAAGTGCAACAACAACATATATTATTCCTCAAAATGTACAACTACATAAATAAGTACAGGCATTAACGTAAAGTACTTCCAGTTGGCATGATGATTAATATGTCCATGGAAGTCATTTATTTTTTCTTTTTTTTTCCCTTCCCCCAACAGCAAACAAAACGAAGTAATAATTGAAAAGGAGTGTATGATTAACAATAAAAACATGAAAATGAAGAATGAAACCCCTGCTCTTCGAATAAAACTAAACCACTAAAAGTTTTGTTAGTCCAACAAATAATTAGAGAAGGTAGCTTCTACTTAATAAGCATCAAAGTACTGGATGCTTAATAAGCATCAATTCTGGTACCCTTACCCAACAAGTTGACGAAAAGCACATTCCCACGTAAACTTGAGGCAATAAAATAGAACATGTCTTGAAGCTATCAAAAGAAAGAAGTGAACCAGGTAGTCTACGTAAATTATTTAAGTTCCATCCAGATTCCATATGATCAGCATGACCTGGTTCAATCAAAGGACTGGATGATGCTGGAAATCCACTGCCAAGTGAAGGGCTATCCAAACTATGACCACATAGCACCTAAAAACACTCATACAGAAGGATCAGCACGCTGAAGTTTGTCTGACTGAAGAAAGTCGAAATCAAAATTTACTATCCCTGGTACCTCAATTTGTTCAGTTGGATTCTCAACAATGCGTCTATATTCACTCTCTACTTGATCCACTAATGGTTCCCACTGCTCTTGAACCGTGGATGAATTTGTTTCTGTATCTGTGACCTTATTTCCACTGCTGAAATACTGGGATTTAAAGTCATCTGCATAACTTTTAAAAGCTTTTAGAGTAAACTCTCGACCAAGTTTTGAGTTTGGACCTTTCTTATCAATACCACAACTTTCATCAGGATCCATAAAACATCTATTGCCACACTCATACTCTATCCTTCTCCTCTTATTCTTGACGTTATCGTTATGTTTAGGAAACCGACCACATGCAAAATTCTTCTGAAACCCATCAATCCGCTGATAGTGGGCTAAGAAAGGAGAGTTTTCCCAAATTTCCTTTTCCTTCAAAAGGCATGGAGGTAGCCATGATGGAGGAGGAACTATACGACAGATTCCACATGACTCTGCCCTTGGACGTATTCTTTCTATATATTGAAGTGTATCTGCAAATTCCTGCAGGAACATTTCAGTAACATAAAAAGGAATTCAAATTAGAAATGATATCTTAGGCATGTAATAAACACATGAACTAGAAATGAACAGTGAAATAAGTAAATTCTATCCATTACAGCTCAACACCTCCTCTGTTGGATAGAAAACAGGGGCCTCTTCAAGACTATCCGTTCTTGCATCTTCAGGATGCCACCTTGCAGTGACCTATTCCAGAATGTCAACTGGACTTCAGAACATAGTGGTTTGGTGCTATAAGGTTCATAGAAAATTCTGAAAAAGATTTCATTCAGATTTCAACAAATGGATGCAGGTTAACCTTCACACAGTTACTGCATTCTGGACATCCATGTGCTACCCCTTTTGGAAGGTCAGATTGTGGAGGGAGGTTCTGCAAGGGCCAATTACGAAAAATGGAAAAATTTATATCGAGTTATTAATATATAGCTGCTACTTTTTCTAATTTACAAAAATAAACACTTGTAGGTTTCAAATAATTACTAAATCCTACATGTTTTTACTCATTATTGAAACGTACTAATTTTTCATCGAAAAATCAATTTTCATGAACCCGAGTGGAAGTACAAAAGGATCTGATTAAAAAGCAATGTTTTAAGGGAAACGTATTATTAGTAATACATGTGAAACAATTAATGTGTCAACTTATTAGTACGTCAGTTGATTTAACTAAAAAGTATTAATATAACCTTTTATATTCCTGATGAAAACAAGGATACCCAGTACGTCCCCGATCCATTGAAACTATTATTATGATTCTTCTATAAAATTTCAAAGAAAAGGTACCCAAACATTTAATATTAACGGAAACTTTTTACTCTAAACTAAAAGGAGGACAAATCGAACAGAAAAAAATGAATGGAAGGAAAGCAAACATAATTCACCATATCATTCTCCATAGATTCAAACTCCAAAGAATCCTCATTCTTTTGATCAAATAATATCCAGGGTCTCTGTCTACAAGCCGCCTCCATCATTTCAATGCCAATCGTCTGAGACAAAGCACTGATTTCAGTTTGCTTTATTTTACTTGAATCATCATTCTCATTCTGTTCCACCCTCCTCAGCCTGAAGGATCTTCGAGAAATAAAACCCGGGGGAGCCAAGAGATTTTCGACTCCTTGGTTCAATGAATTCCTTGAACAATCTTCGTCCATACCCCCTGATTAAAGAGAGTGCTTAACTAAGACTATGGTGACTTTAGCACAGCAGGAAAATTAACATGAATTTGCGCTTATCTTACAATTAAATGTGCTTAACAGTGCAGGTACAGGCACCTTAAAAGCTTCATCTGCAACAAACCCAAAAGAGAATAAATAAGTGGAGTGATAATTAAGTAGAAGATCCCAAGCAATTAGTAAGTTCTAAATGTCATTCAAAGTTTGGAATGCTAGCAAAACAGGCAGGAGAGCGTTTATTCACGAATACTTAAGCTAAAACTTAAATTATCTAATAAAACAAGAGAACGAAAATTAATGCAACGAATTTGAACTACAAAAACGATAACATTGTCATCAATACAGTATAAGGCAAAGAAATCGAAATGGGAAAGTAAGGCTACAGAACAGGAGACACGAAGAACTCGAAATCACGCGCGGAAAGCTAACAAATTACCTGTAAATCTTCAAATGCAAGATGTTAGAGATTTTGCAGAAGATAGTTTGGAGGTGTCGTTGAGTTTGAGAATGGTGGAGAACTCCATGTACAGCTAGAGCTAGGGTTTCTGGATCTGTCAGAGATGATAAAAGTGAATCAATTTAGCATTGGCGACACGACTGTATGGCATAAAAGTAATAAAACGGTCGATTGTTGGAGAAAATTTTGTTCTCGATTAACGAGACGTGCTTTGATAAGGGAAAAAATGTTGATTGATCATCCAAGAACTTGATAGAACGATGAAGATTTGAATTTTAGACGAAAATAATATTTTAAGTGTGGAATTCTAAATTTAGTATTTCAACTTAGATTGTATTTGGTATTTAATTTATTTATTTTTTAAATCCACGATTATCGGATTAGTTGGTGATGTAAAACCATCGAGAGATTCAATAAAAATAAAATTGTATTCGTTTTTAATGTTTTCAAATAGATGTTTTGTTTATGAAACGAAATAAGTTAAAAGGTCAAATTTGGTCTAGATATGACATAAGGAAGAGCTTGAACGTTTTAGCAAGAAAAGACCTGAATAAGAGAGGTAAAACCTCCGACACCCAAGTCAATAATATGGAGTTTGAGATAGAATACAATATCTGATGTGGAGGTGAGACTCTCTATTTATAGATTGGGGATCCGACATGTGATTATTGGTGTCGTCTCGAAGGTCGGGTTTGTCGAATACTTATGAAAGGTCGATCTCGTCCGGGATGGTCCTCAAGTAAAACCTTATCATTCCGACCTTCATCTGTTTTCCACATGGCAAGATTTTTTTGTCCCTAACGTGTTTGGTGATAGATTTGAAAATTAAATCCCAATCTAAAAAATTATTTAGCGTATGTATTTGGTAATATATTTGTAAACTAATGCTAGTTATCGCTTAAATATTTAGTTGAATCCAAAATCATATTAATTAATTTATTAACTTTTTATTATAAATGTTGTACAATTATTACTTTACAATTTATAATATTTTATACTTTATTTACATTCATATCAGGTATATCATCGGTATCAATACATAATCAAGTATGTCAATGATATATCAAATCAAGTATCACTACAAGAAATTTGAATTTTCCTGACGCTTCAAATCATCAAAAAAAGACTTCAAAACGTCGAGATTAACTTTTGCCAACAAAATATTTTCGTCGAGAAAAGTTTGTTGGGATAGACCACTCCCGATGAACTTGTAGTGATTAACCGTTGGGATTAATCTTTCTCGACGGTTTAGAAAACATTGGGAAATGGCTTTTTGGTGACGTTTTCTCAATTTTTCATCGGGAAAAGATCTTTCACCCAATGGTTTTTAATTTTTTTTTAAATAATTCATTTCTAATTCAAATCCAGACCTTATCTCTTTGAAATTGATATTAAACAAAATATATTAAAATCTATATATTTTTACAAATTATTTGAGGTCAAAGAATACCTAGAGCCAAAATTACAACAAAACTAAAGATCTACGAAAGTTGTATTTCCAACTCTATGAAATCTCTTGAATCTTACAATGTGCGAAGGAAGAAGAATAACATAAAACGCAAACATGAAGCCCACCATGTGCTGTAATAGAGTTATATGCCTCTTAAGTTTCCGCTCTACATTGAACTCAATTCTTTTAATGTCGACGCCATTGACATATCAAGGTTGAGTTGGATTGACGATGACAAGCCGTCTATATCGTGGCTAGGTGTTACACGCGGAGGAGTTTCCGATTGATCGCTGGGAAGTGCGGCGGCTCACGAGACCTGCTCAGAGTTTGAAGTATGAGTAAAAAAATGAAACCTGCGATTAAATTGCAGCCGCAGAATTGTTAAATATCGAAGAGGGGAAGGATTCTGAGAAGTAGAGGAAGATGACATTGTTCGTCAAATTCCAGGAGGGAAGAGAGAGAAATTGCAGAGGGAAAGGAAAATTGCTTAAAAATAACATTCAGAAATATTCAAACTCACCAGTATCATTCTGTCAGTGACGCTGACAAAAGTTTAAATAGGTTAGAGACAAAATTATTAGACCCTATTTACTTACCTACTGTCCCAACGTCATTGTGATGCGGAGCGGCCGATATGAAGGGTCTCTTTCGTAAGGGTTTGGAGTCGTCACCAATCATTTGATTGGTCACCTAAAAATAAAGACAATGTCTGCGAAAAAAGATTGGTGGTTCGAGAGTCGACTGAGCGTAGGGTCATGTAAATTAAAAACCAAACATTTTACCACTATGCCTACATTCTAAGATGTAAAGATAATATTCTTTTAAAAAACAAAGCTTTTAATTTATTTTTTAAAACTAAAAAAACAAATTTTGTTAAATTAAAACAAAAAAATAAAAATAAAAACAAAACTTTTTTATTTAATTAAAGAGATTTTTGAAAGAAAACTTTATTTCTTAATTAAAAAAATGTTATTTAAAACATATTTTATTTGTTGAGACTTGTTTAAAAAGATTTAATCTTGTATTTTAAGAAAAACTAAAAGATTATCTTCAAATCTTTTTGATAATTATTTTTAAAATTAAAAGAGACTCAATGTCAAGCTTGGATGAAAAAAAAAGATAATAATCTACTTTTGTGTTTTAAAAAAAAGTAATAATAATAAATTAACTTCAAACAAAGTTTTATCTTTCAAAATTGTCTTTTTATCTTTCAAAATTGTCTTTATGTACCTAAAAAACATTGATTTTAAAACAAAATCTATTTATCAAAATCTTTTATTAATTTTTTTTAAGAGAAATTTATTTAAAAACAAACGAGTACTTTTATTTTAAAATTAAACTTTTTATTTAATTAAAATAGTATTTTAATTTTAAACAAATTTTATTGTAAAAATTTCTAAACCTTTATTTGAAATCTTAATTTAGAAAATTCTGTTTTTATTTTGAAACATTTTATTTATTCACAACAAACCCTTTTTTTAAAAAATAATAAATAAATAAGATCTTTTTATTAAAAAGAAGTATCTTGGATTTCAGTGTACCATTGGGTTTTGCTACTGGAAGCAAGTCTATCGTCTCTGCTCAAGCCGATCAAGCACACTGCCTCCTTTAGGAAAGAAACGAATGATCGAGATCGACCGGCCGACCAAATGCAGAGACGGGGACCGGACCGGAAGAGAGAGACAAGGTTCGTGGTTGGCCTCTTGTTAATCTTCTGTTTGTTTTGCTCTTTGTACAATGTCACTCCCTTGTATTTGCCTGTCTCCAATATTATGTAGCTATCCCCCATATAGAATTTTTCATGATCAAACAGGCTGAAAAATTCTCAATTCGCCAATTCCGACGATTATGATGAAATTGGGGCGTGGATAAAGAGTAGGTTAGAACACAACAATTGGCAAATTTCAGCGCCGAAAATTGTGCGTCAAACTTTTGTGGTCCAGGGTAGTAAAGAAATCATAATTATGAGGGATTGAGAAGTACAGGGGAGGGAGGTATGAAGGAATTATGAAGAAGATGAGAGAAAGAGAAAGGTAGAGGAGGGATGAAGGCCTCAAATTTCCTCAACTCTGTAGTCTTTCTAACTATCTGCACTGTATGCACTGTGTTGTGCCTATGTCTCTATGTGTGTGCCATTTAAATACACAATGCTCCAATGGTAACAATGAGATGGTTAGAGAAAAGAGGGGAATGAAAGGAATGAGAAGATGCCACGTTACGTGGCTTTGACGAGGAAAAAATCAAAAAGGAAAAAACTGTTAAAAATCAAACGTTTTGTTAAAATAAAATCTTTATTTAATTAAAACAAAATCTTTTTAAAATAAACTTATTTACTTAAAAACAAATCATTTTTATTTATCTATTTTTTATTTTAATAATAAAACAAAATCTAAACAAGACCATTTTTTATTTTCTTATTAATAAAATTAAACATTTAAATAAATCTCACCTTTTTAATTTAAGTTAATTTAAACTTTATATTAAAACTAATAATAAAGTAAACTTATGTTATTTTTTAATTAAAATAAAACTTAATAAAGTAAAATACAATAATATAAATTAAAATTAAAAATAAG